TACCCTAAATCCTACAGACCTATTAGCCCCACCTCCTTTCTCCTAAAGACGATGGAGAGGATGTGTGAACGGGAGTTGAGAGGGCCGGCGCTAATTAACTTACCGCTACACGAAAAACAACACGCCTATAGCTTAGGTAAATCAACAGAATCGACACTTCACCAGGTAATAACAAAGATTGAAGAGGCCATCCAAAACAAAGCAATATGTCTAGGCTCCTTCATAGACACAGAAGGTGCTTTTGACAGAACAAATTTCTCCAGCATAAAAGGTGCCCTAAGTAGACATAATGTTGAACCGGCACTAATTAACTGGAAAATAAACATGCTCAGTACACGAACAATAAAGATTGCTGGTGAATCTCAGACAATTCAGATCATGAAAGGATGCCCGCAGGGTGGCGTTCTTTCACCTCTCCTGTGGAATATGGTCATTAATGAACTCATCAGCAAATTAAACGCTACTCATTTCTACACAGTCGGTTATGCAGATGATCTGACAATACTGGTCTCTGGTAAGACAGCAAGCATTGTGTGCGACCTGACCCAAGTGGCTCTCTGTATTGTGGAGAAATGGTGCAGGGAATATGACCTAACCGTTAATCCAAATAAAACTGTTATAGTAATATTCATACAAAAACGAATGCTGAATAACTATCATCTTCCAAGTCTTTTCAGCACAAAACTCCAACTTTCTTCCGAGGTAAAATACCTAGGTCTTACCTTGGACAGTAAACTTAACTGGAACAAACACATAGAAAACAAAATCAGCAAAGCTAGTTTAACTTTCTGGCAGTGCAGAAACATGATCGGCAAACGATGGGGTTTAACGCCAAAAATTATACTGTGGCTGTACAAAACTGTAATTCGGCCCATGATCACATACGGCTCTCTGGTATGGTGGACCAAAACCAATGAAGCCACCACTATACAAAAGCTTCAGCGTTACCAGAGATTAGCTTGTATAGCTGCCACGGGCTGCATAAGGACAACACCAACAGCAACTTTGGAGGCTATGCTGGAGCTAACACCGCTTCATCTACATATACAACAAGAAGCAACTTTAGCTGCCATTAGACTCAAGACCCTAAATCTTTTAAGTAAGAGTAGAGCCCCCCATACAGATATAATCGATAGAATTTACTCAAAAATTCCTATCTTACAAGCCAATTGAGCAAGTGGATGAGTTTGTGTATTTGGGATGTGTATTTAGCAGGGATGGTAGATATGATAAGGATATAGAACGACGAGTAAATGCAGGGGATAGAGTGAATAATAATAATAATATATAATAATAATATAATAATGTTTATTGATAAACAAAATTTTTTGGTACACACTTATAATCTAATCTTAAGATTAAAGTTTCGGGTAGAACAAACATTTTAAACAATAAAAACTTGAATGCATAAGATGTAGTTTCATTCGAACAAGAAACAAGTTTCACCACTATAACTGTGAACATTATTAAGAATGTAATTATTTATGTTGTGTATTTAATAGTACAAAATTGAAATTTTAATTTTAATTGAGTAAATCTTAATATTTGGAACATTGGAACGAAAAGTGTACACTATAAGATAAAAATTGCTAGCATTTAAACTAGGCCAAGCCTGTGTCTTAAATGCTAGTTTCTTCCTTTAAGTAAATGAACATAGAATATACACTTAAACGTTTTACAAATTACTACTTTTTAATAACGTGTTAGTAGGTGTTTATAATTATTTAATATTGTTTTATTTTAATTTAAGTTTAAATTTTAGGACTCAGCTCATTTTTTTATTGTAAATAGATCTTCAATGTCGTCATAAGTTTGTGATTTAAGCCAAACTGTCAACTTTTTTTGCAATTGTATTTATTAAGCGGATGTATATTAATCATTCGGTTAATTTTATTATATAGAAAAGGACCAATAAAACATTGAAACTTTTTAATAAAGTGAGTCCTAAAGGGAATATTAGGACACACTCTGTCCTTCCTTCGTATTTGGGGTTGTTTTGGGTCGTAAGAGACTTTCTTATGTTGGGATAAGATAGTATCAACTACGTACAGTTGTCTTACCGTCAGCACATCGCACATTGTATACAATTCAGCAGTGGGAAATCGGTATGGTTTAAAAGTCATAACCTTAAGTAACGCGCGTTGGGCCCTTTCAACTCTTATTATATGAGATTTTTTAGCACCTCCCCCACGCTCTTATGCAATATGATATTACGGATTGGGCCATGGCATAGTAGACTGATTTTAAAAGTTCATTGTCAGCAACATGCCGCAATGTTTTGAAAATATAAATCAGTTTGCGAATTTTTTCTGATATCATTTTAATTTGTGGTATCCACGTTAGAGTTTGATCCAGAATTACGCCAAGGTACTTTATTGTGGTTGTACGTTCTAATACTATACACTGACATGATGTTATATGTGGATGAATATTATTACAAGTATGGGCTTTAATGTGTATTTCACTAGGAATGCTATTTTGTGCTATACCAAAAGTAATAAACTTAGTTTTCGATGCATTTAGTGTCAGTATGTTTTTTTGTAGCCATTGCGTTGTCTGTTGCAATCCCATTTCTGCCTTGATTCTAGTTTCCTCCCAAGTTTTACCATGAAAAACTAGTACTGTATCATCGGCAAATGTAAAGATCTTACAATTATTCAAATTAAGATTACATAATTCATTTATGTATATTAAGAAGAGGCTAGGGCCGAGGACGCTGCCTTGTGGCACGCCATAAGTGATGGGAGAATCTAGACTAGTCAGGTCACCTACCTTTACCCTTTGTCTTCTGTGAGAAATATAACTTTCAAACACACATAATGGTTTCCCGCGTATACCTATTTTATGCATTTTATCTAGAAGTATGGATGCAGAGACTGTATCGAAAGCTTTTGCAAGATCTAAGAATACACCTATACATTTATTTTTCTTATCGATTTGCTGAGCAAGATAATCTGATAATCCAGTAACTGCATCAGAAGTACACTGGCCAGCTCTAAAACCATATTGATTGTTTGATAGAAGAGCATTCTTTTCCAAAAAACATATTAATCTTTTATTTATTACCTTTTCTATAACTTTTGATAGGGCTGGCAATACTGAGATAGGACGGTAATTGTTGATGCAGTCTCTTGGGCCAGATTTATGTATAGGATGGATAATCGATATTTTAAATATTTGTGGAAATACACCTGTAGTTAAGCATAGGTTCACTATATGTGTTAAGACAGGTACTATATGTTTGTTGCAAATTTTTAAAAGTTTGTTGGATATACCGTCCCAACCAGTAGCGCTGTCATTTTTAAGCCCTATAATAATGGCTTTAATTTCTTCACAGGTAGCTTCAAGCACAGTCATGGAATTTGCAGGAGAGGGTGCATTAGAGTTAGATACCGTTCTTTGGTCACTTGTACGTACATTAACTAATTTATTTGCTAAATTTTCCCCAATATTAGCGAAAAAGTTGTTGATATGCTCAACAGAATTTTGAGGAGTGTCACATATACGAAGTAGGTCTTTAGGTATAGCCTTCTGTTTATTCATATGAACAATAGTTTTAATGGTGTCCCAGGTCTTTTTTAGGATTATTAGAATGCTTTTTCAGCTCATTTTGTTCATAGGTTCTTTTTAATCGCTTGAGCAGATCGTTGCAATAATTTTTGTACCTTTTATAAATTGTTTGCATAATTTCATTTTTGGGATCTGCTTTACTTTTAGAGTGCATCCTGTCTTGGTTTCTGATGCAACGTAGCAGCCCTGGTGTGATCCAGGGCTTAAGACAACGAAATCTACGTGGTACTAAGATTCTAGTTGAATGGCTGGCTAGGTAATTTGAGAGAATATTTACGAGTCTCTCAGCAGCCCAATTTGCGTCCATGGACATAAAAATTTCTTCAAAATTGGTTGCATCCAAATCTTTGAGAATTCCTTCGTAATTGACTTTATTCAGTACAGACTCCCTTTTTTGGTAGTTTTTAAATGTTAATTCCAAACATGAAATGACTGCTCTGTGATCTGTGAGCGGTGTATTTAAAACCAAGGTAGTTACTGATCTATTAGTATTTACCATAGAATGGTCAAGGCAGTTTGCTCCTCTAGTTGGGTAAGTATGACCAATGAGAAATCCATGACTCGCAAGTAGGTTTAAATAATCATGCGAATTTTGATCCTCATTGTTAGGCTTTACGTCTAAATTTATATCCCCCATTATAATGACATTTTTATAAGACTTGTGTGAGGACAATAGCTTATCCAACGAGTCAATAAATACAGCAATACTTCTCTGAGATGGAGATCTGTATAGGGCAATTATGAGTGTATCAACATTTATTTTTATTATTAGACAACTAGCTCCATCGAAGCTTGGTTCCTCAACAGAACAAGTAAGTCCATCTTTAATATATACAACTAGTCCGTCATTTTGGTTTATATTATTTTTAGTATAAAACGAGTCGTAGTTTGGAATCGTTGGAAAATAAGAAGTAATTTTATTCCAAGATTCTGTCAGTATATATATTTCACAATTTAAATTAATTCTAGCAAGTAAAACTTTAAATTCATTAAAGTTGCGATTTATACTTCTGATATTTTGGGTCAATACTTTAAAGGTTTGGTTAGTAGACGTAGAAGTTAATATTGTTTTGCAAGACTCTGGGTCACATAAATAAGACTTTCCGGCTATAATATTATCAATGTCATTTGTAATGTACAAGTTATTTATGCCCTCGAATTTTATTATTTATTTGCAATGACACCAATATCGGCAGTTTGGTGGAAATCAATAAGTTAACTCTATCAGACTTTCTAGTATTTAAGTTAGTTTTAGACGATAAATTAGCTGAGTTTACAAAGATTACTATGAATATGTTAGTGTAAAATTTACTGATTAAGTACGAATTAAAACTTAAACTAAGAAGCATGCAAGTATGTAAAACAAGTATAAGTAAAAATAAAATATAAAAAAATTGAAAGTATGTGTAGCACAATAAGATTATTAATAGTCATTTCATGTTTTTAAGTTTTACCAGGTCTGTTTCACACTTTATTTCAATGTGCGGCGATTCGTCGGTTTTGCGGAGAAAAACTTTCCCGTTGCTCGTCCAACAGTATTTGAATTTGGCAGTTGAAGCAAAATCCCGCGCCAGATACAGTAATCTACGACCTTTATGTGTAAGACCTTCGGATAAATATAAAGGTATAGATGGTCCACCTAAACCTATAAGAGTTGAGTTAAGCCTTTCATTTGGGTGTGTTTTGTTATAAAGCTTGGCACTTTTAATTAATTCCTGTTTGGTCTTTGTTCGCAAGAAATCCACTACAAGGGTAGATGTCCCCGATTTTCCCTTAATGCGGAAGACGTCCTTAACATCACTCGGTTGAAAATCAACAGCAAGGACTTTACAGGTATTTTGTACTATATTAGTAAGTTCCAACTTGTTATCGTTTCTAGTAGAACACGGTACGTTCCTAATTTCTACAGTAGTTGATTTCAGCAATCTTTGCATGTCTTCGAGTTTTGCTTCAAGTGAAGAGATATACAATAACTGTTCTTTGCGTTCTCGTTCTAGAGTTTCCACTCTTACCAACATACCGTCAAATTGATCAGATAGAAACTGCAGAGATTTTTCAATCTCCTGATTAGACTGTTGAAATTTAGAATTTTGAATTTTTATTTCAGCTACATCTTTTAAGATTATTCAGAATATGATTTTGGCTTTCACTCATTTATTTGATCATGGATTACAATTCTTCTTTGAAATTCAAAAATAAATCTTCGCAACATGGCTCTCTTAATCTTTTTGTTCGCTGGGTTACGTATGGCTTGTGCTCTTGGGCATGCCCAACCAAAGAGACGTCAGAATCTGACGCAGTGTGTGGTATTAGCCCACTTGATGAAGGGCTTCTTGTGAGTCGGCTCATTATTAGGAAGAATTTTCTTAGGTTCAAAGTTTAAGTGATACAATTTTCGACGTTGTGTTGCACAAAGACCGGTCTTACTGTGATATTATATCTCACTCGTTCAACAGACCGCAATTAATACAGCACTACTGCTCCCACACTTGCACAGCACTTTATCGTTTATGAGCGCCTGGTACTCGTAGTAATTTAAATTCGCGAATTAATATTTCATAAATTTATTTTTACAACAAAAAAATACGTGTGATCACGGTCGACACCAGGACGGAAGGTGAATGGTGCACTACACTCTATTGTGAAGAACCAGAATGTACGAGGGTGGATTGAAAAGTACTCGGCCTAACCAAGAAAATAAACACATACTAAATCAGTTATATTTTTATTTTTCTACATAATCACCATCAAGTTCAATACACTTTTGCCACCTCCCCTTCCAAGCATTTAGACCGTTGAAAAAAAAATGATTCTTCCTTAGAGTCAAAATATGCGTCTACAGCTGCTTTGACCTCGTCGTTTGTCGAAAATCTTTGACCTCCCAAGTGCTTTTTTAGGTTAGGGAACAGAAAGAAGTCTAATGGTGCCAGATCTGGTGAATACGGCGGATGCGGTAACAGTTCAAAGCCACAGTTGTGAATTTCAGTCATTGACTGTACTGACGTGTGAACACGGGCGTTATCTTGATGAAACAGGACTTTTCTTCTGAGCATTCCTCGACGTTTTTCTTTTATTTCCTCTCGTAAACGACGTAGTAAGGTGCAGTAGTAATCAGAGTTTATAGTCTGACCCCTTTCAAGATAATCAATCGTAATCACACCTTTCGAGTCCCAGAATACTGAAGCCATCACCTTATTTGCCGACAAAATCGACTTAGCCTTTTTAGGGGTGGTGAAACAGGTCTTCTCCGCTGTTTTGATTGTTGTTTTGTTTCCGGTGTACAGTAATGAACCCATGTTTCGTCCATAGTAACAAAACGATTCAAAAAATGATCTGCATCGGCTTCAAATAACTCCAAACAGTCGCGTGAAATAGTCAATCGCGTCCTTTTTTGTTCAACTGAAAGCAGTCGCGGAACCCACCTCGCAGACACCTTGTGGCAACCCAACTCGTTGACAATGTTGTTTTGAGTTCGTTCATCAGAGATGCCTATAATCTCGGCTATCTCTCTAATTTTTAATCTGCGGTCTCCCATTATTAAATCAAGTACTTTTTTAATATTTTCGTCAGTAGTTGACATCGAAGGCCTTCCAGAGCGGGGTTCATCTTTCACACTCTCTCTACCACGCTTAAATTCTGCTATCCATTTTTTGACGGATGAATATGACAGAGCACAATCGCCTAATGTACTGATCATGTCATCATGGATGGCTTTTGATGATAGCCCCTTCTTATGGAGGTACTTAATGACGGTACTCTGCTCGATTTGCTCCATTCGCGGAAATTATGTCCGATTACTTTGTTAATAAATTTATAAAATCACAACTAATTATCGCACACGTTTCGAACTTCACACAATGAACTAGTCTGAACTGAACTAAATAATGTGGCTAGATTTGATTTTTAGAATTGAATGGATCTGTGTTAGGTCGAGTACTTTTCAATCCACCCAGGTATCAAAAAAGGCACGTATGGTAATTCATAACGCTGTGTTAGTCCCTACTTTAATGTATGGTAGTGAAAGCTGGGTGTGGCAGAAGAAGCACGAAAGTAGAATAAATGCTGTAGAAACGCGGTCTTTAAGGAGTATGCTAGGGTTGAATCTGAATGACAGGGTGAGAAATTGCGTGATAAGAGATAAATGTGGTATGCAAGATGATGTTGTGACCAGGATTAAGAAAGGAATGCTTCGGTGGTTTGGTCATGTAGAAAGAATGAATGAGGAAAGAGTGACAAAGCAAATTTATATGGCAGATGTGAACGGCCGAGTCGGGAAGGGACCCCCCAGAAAAAAGTTTATCGACCAAATTGGCGATATTTTGAAAAGGGGCCACGTTAGAAGTACCCTTAACCGACGAGCATGTATGCGTAGATATATGGATGTAAAGGAGGCGAAAGAGGTATGTCAGGATCGTGTCAAATGGAAGTCCGTGGTCTCTGCCTACCCCTCTGGGTGACAGGCGTGAGTGTTTATGCTATTATTTATACAAGCCAAGTATGATAGGATCCCAAAACAATTTGTATTCGATAAGGAGTACAGGATACAATTGAAAGAAACTGACCATCTGGAAGGATTTGGTCCAAGAGAGCTCAAAGTTTTCACGGATGGCTCTAAGACAAATGAAGGTGTGGGGTCTGGGGCTTTCTCTGAAGACCTTAATACCCACATATGCACACCGCTGGGTATCCACAACACAGTCTTCCAGGCTGAATGCATGGGTATCATCCAAGCGGCCATAGCAATAGATGCTAGGAAGGTGAAAGACTTCTCCATCAGAATACTGACCGACAGTATGGCGGTACTACAAGCTCTGAGTTGTAATGTGACGAACTCGGGACTGATACACGAGTGCCATCAACGATTGAATGAGGTATGTAAGTACAACAATGTGACTCTGCAATGGATCAAGGGACACAGTGGATCTAGAGGCAACGATGCAGCAGATGAACTGGCCAGAAGGGGGGCCCTGGCAACTATAGGGCCGGAACCAATAATACCAATCCCCTTTGGCTACGTTCGTTCACTGGTATGTAGATACTTCAATAATTTACACGCTCAGCTTTGGAAAAATTTAGTAGACTGTAGACAAGCTAGGGAGGCCCTACCTGAAATAAACAGTCGTCTAACCAAGGATCTAATGAGACTGAACAAGCCACAGATCAGGATAGTAACAAGTGTTATCACAGGACATGGCTCTTTTAACAAACATTTGTTCACCATAGGTGTTACTGACAGCCCCCTGTGCAGGGCATGCACGGAAGAGGAAGAAACGGCGGCTCACGTATTGCTGACATGTCCAGAAGTCGCTTCATACAGGGCTAAACATCTCGGCACGCCGGGATCGCTCCCCCGAAGTTGCTTGCAACATCAAGGGACTGCTGAGCTTCTTCGGGGAGATATCATGGCTCGAATAAGCATATTGTTCCTGCTCACACGCAAAATACGCGCTTAGACGTGGAGTTGCGGAAAACAGCCCGTCGTAAACTAAACTAACCTAAGTGTAGTCTGGCTAGCATCGCTCCGTTACCCGCAAATAAATAATTTTTGGTCATTTTCAGCCATTACATCGTTCGTAATTTTATTTGTTTAATAGCATAGTAAAATACTTAGAAAAACTAAACTAAATATTATTAATTATATATTACTAAATGAAAATCGCGGTTTCAACAATTAAAATTATTTTATTTGTTGAGTGAATAATTTTACTATACAATAATACATTGTGTATTTTTTTATCTTTGTTCTCAATTGATACTGATATTGAATTTGTATGTTATAATTAAGTATGGTCGTCATAATTGATGTGTAGTGGCTTCATAAAAAAAATCCATCAGCCCATTTCCTTACATGAGTATCCCAGAAACGTCAGAAAAGTCTATGGCTTCCGACATATAACAACATTTCTAGTATATAGTCAGTAATCTATGGTGTCCAATCGAAATCCAAAACAATAAATAACAGTTCAAAAACTCTCCACAACAGCGCTGGAATAGCTACCACAGAACACTATTACTCCATAGCTACGGGAAAAAGCTAAATGAAATGAACTTAGTAGTTGTCGACGGTGTGAAGTGTGCTGCTAAACCGCTCAGTAGCTCTAAAATCTGAAATAATTTTATTTAGTAAACCTCGAAAAAGTCGTCTATCCCATTAATATTTATCGGCGCGTTCTTTAAAATTTACCAAGTAGCTATAGTGGCGCCACCCTTATTTAACGGTTTTCTATGGACACTTTTCAATACACAGTCTGCACTCCTTACCTTTACACTCCGTATTAAAAACATCGTTTAAAGTGTCGTCTTGGCTAAAAGCCCCTTAGCACACTGTCTTAATAAATAATAAACTAAAAAAATGAATTCATTGAATAAACTCCAATAAACTCCAATAAATTTATGATTGTACCGTAGACAGAGAATATTTTCCCGTGGGTGTTGTAAAAGGCGACAGAGGGAAACAGGCAGGAGATGGGCACCAGCATCTTCCTGATAACAGCAACTGTACGACAAAAGAACTGCTGTTGCCAACCCGCTCGCCAAGCGTGGCAACTATGATCATTATGACGACCAGACGCCAATTTTTCAGTGATTTCTCAGTGATTGCAAGGGTAAAAACTGGCAGTGATCACCGAATGGTTAAAGGCACACTGAACATAAACGTTAAGTTGGAGACTTTGAGTATTCAACCAACTGGAGAGGCCATGCGGACGCGCATCCCTCCAGTTGGTTGAATTATCCTAAACAAAAATTATCCTAAACAAGGAATTATCCTAAACAAAAATTCTATCAACATCAGGGGGGCGCAAGAAAACCACACAACTGTATACTTAACGACAAATGCAAAATTAAATCGCGTCACTATAAACGCACACTATAGCATTTTTGTTTGTGTTCATCGCGTTTACGCATGCATCAAATTGTACACGTGTCGATACACTGATGGCGCTGTCTAAATGTAATGTAAGCAACGTTAGGCGTGGACTATGTCGATATTTTTTTATCGATAAACAAATCACAATAG